AAAAAATCTCTCTTCCTAATAAAATATATTGATTTCTACTTTCCCTATCATACAATAATTCTGCGTTAAAATTGTATTCTAATATTATAAAATAGTGTAATACAATCTATACTATATATAAAAACAAAATCCTGAAATTTTAACTTCCCGCCCAATTCCTAAAAAATCTCTCTTCCTAATAAAATATATTAATTTCTACTTTCCCATTCGTACAATAATTCTGCGTTAAAATTGTATTCTAATATTATAAAATAGTGTAATACAATCTATACTATATATAAAAACAAAATCCTGAAATTTTAACTTCCCGCCCAATTCCTAAAAAATCTCTCTTCATAATAAAATATATTGATTTCTACTTTCCCATTCGTACAATAATTCTGCGTTAAAATTCTATTCTAATATTATAAATAGTGTAATACAATCTATACTATATACAAAATCCTGAAATTTTAATTTCCCACCCAATTCCTAAAAAATCTCTCTTCCTAATAAAATATATTGACTTTTACAATAATTATGGGTTAAAATTTTATTGTAATATTATAAAATTGTGTAATACTATTCCTATTCTAATCTATATCTATTTTATATATCAGTGTTGCAAAAATCGTGTCGCTGGCCGCGGCGAGGATGGCCGGAATCGCCCTCAGCAGCGGCCGCCTCGCCGGCTGAACCGGCCTTTAATTTTTATTTTTTTTTTAAGTTGTAAAGTGTCAAAAGTTCGGCAAGGCATAAATTTTGACTCTGTTGTCCGTTTTGGAAAAATATTTTTTTGAAATCGCGTATTTTTTCGAGATCTATCCACCGCAAACTGACGTAGGCGGTTTGGCCCACCAATTTCTAAAAAAAAATACTTTATTAAAGAGTTTCTAAGAAAAAACTATGAGAACCTTATGTTTTATTAATGAATTTTTAAAATTTTTAATTAAACAATTGTCCCGTGCATTATTTAATAATCTTTCTTTATAATTGGTCAAATTCTTTAATTATGGTAAATTTGGGAATAATTAATGATGGTAATAGAAATCCTAGAAGAATATAGAATTGAACAATATTTAATTATTGTTATATTATTATTGTGACTCATGGAATACAAGAGTTAATGCCATTTTTGGTCCTACTTATTGGGGCATTGACACTTTTCATCCACCATAATAAAAATTGTCACTTAGAAGCCACTGTTATTGATCGTTGGACAGTTTTGATCTTCCGTCAATGACGCCGTTTGTTGACCGTGAATTAGAAGGGGTTTTCTGTCTTTTTATGTTCTAATCCTTGTATTTCTCCATCCACTGGTAACTGCTACATCCATTTATTCAAACTGAGGTTATCCGCTTCAGTCCTTTCTAACATTAAGAAACCATCTTCACCCAACTAACAATCACGAATTTTACATTTGACATCAATCTCAAGATAATGGAAACAAGTGCAGTTGGAATAGAAAGGGCGTTAGTCCATGCCTGTGGAAATTTTTTCGAGCATACAACATAACTAGCAAAGTCAGGAATATCACCCAACCCCTCCCTTAACCTTTCTGCATCAACTATAATAGGTATGCCCCTACTCTTTGCCTCCTGCACTACAATCAACGCAGTCTCATGCATCCTTCCATCTAAGTAGACAATATTTACTCCAAGCGCTGAAGACAATTTTGATTTGGGTATGTAGACCCTCAAATATCATGGGTGGATATCCTGGAGTGAAATGCACGTCCGAGTTGTTATTTTTTGGTTGTCAACAATGACATATGTGAATGGTGAGTTTCCTCCTTTGGACACCACCATAAAAGATGTATCAACACCATCCCTTTCAAGCTCATCATGTATTCTTTCGCCATGCGAGTCATCACCAACCTTAGATATGATCCTTGGATTAAGACCAAGACGAATTTTATCATCCGGGTTTTATCAAAGCATTGCCAGTGTTACCACCTCCTTGAACCTCAAAGCTGGTGCTCCAAAATTTATCATCCGGGTTGGGGAATGAAGCTACAGCAGCCAGGAAGTCAACACCGGCCATTCCAACACCTCAGACAATGCGATTTTTGGGGAACGGCGGATTCCACATTTTCAGCTTGAAACTTCAATGAATTTCAGGTAGAATAACAGAGTTTTTGAGGTTGTGCACCAAGTAGTTGTGGTCAGAGAGAGAGAGACAGAGATGGGAAGGATATTTGTGGTCAATATGGAAGGGAGGACTTACAGGTGCAAATTCTACATCACGCCATCTACAACTACAACTGCTATTTACCATAGGAGGGTTCGCCGACCTGCTGCCCTCTCTGCTTCGCCGGAACCAAAAACCACCGGGGAAGGCCCCAACCTCGCCGGATCTGTTGCTGCACCGCCAGATCTGCCTTACTTGTCCGTCGCCGGAAGGAGTTACTGCCTCGTATGCTCGCCGCCGTACCCATAACTCGCCGGAGAAGAACCTCACTGCTACTCACTACCGGCGGTTACTACTTAGTCGCCAAGTCTCGCCATCTCGCCTCACAGGAGTCACAGCAGCGCTGGTCTAAACAAGATTAGAAGAATAAGACATAAAAAGATAGAAAAGCCCTTCTAATTCACGGTCAACAAACGGCTTCATTGACGGAGGATCAAAACTGTCCAACGACCAATAACAGTGTCTACTAAGATACAATTTTTATTATGGAGGATGAAAAGTGTCAATGCCTCAATAAGTCTAGGACCAACAATGGCATTAACTCCGGAATACAATACAAGAATATTTAATTATGGTTATATTATTATTGTGCCTCACGACCATTATATACTAACAGTACTTGAAAAGAAACTAATAATAATAATAATAATAATAATAATAATAATAATAATAATAATAATAAGAATGATAATAATGATAATAATGATAATAATGATAATTATTATGATAATGATAATAATGATAATAATGATGATAATGATTATAATGATGATAATGATGATAATGATGATGATAATGATAATGATAATGATAATGATAATGATAATGATAATGATAATAATAATAATAATAATAATAATAATAATAATAATAATAATAATAATAATAAGAAGAAGAAGAAGAGTGAATTCCATTTTTGGTCCTACTGTTATATGGGCGTTTCCAATTTTAGTCCACCTTAATTTTTTTTGCCACTTTATAACCACTATTATTGAATGTGTTCCACTTTTAGTCCCACCGTTAGTATTTTCATCAAGAGGTCGTGTAATCTAGGGGTATTTTGACCTTTCTTCTCATCCAAGACTATGTTTGACTAAAGAAATGAGAACATTAAACCTAAAACCTAAGAAACCTCGACGGCCCATGTTGGAACGAACGAAACGATGTAGCTTTGGCTTCCCATTCTCGTTGTTCGAAGAGCCATCTTCGAATATCGGAGGAGGAGGACGAAGCACCTGGATTAAAAGAGAAGAGACAAACTTAAAAAGACCAAAATACCCTTTGATTATACGGCCTCTTGACGGAAATATTAACGGTGGACTAAAAGTGAAACACATTCAATAACAGTGGTTGTAAAGTGGCAAAAAAAATTAAAGTGGACTGAAATTGGAAACGCCCCTATAACAGTAGGACCAAAAATGAAATTCACTCTAATAATAATAATAATAATAATATAATAATATAAGTGGTAATAATAATATCTAAAAGTAATTAAGTGTTAATAATAATAATAGTAAGAATATTAACATAAGAGTTATAACATAGAATAAATTGTAATAATTAATCACTATAGTCTAGGATTAAATTTGAAATTGTCAGGAAAGATAAACGACCTCTGGTGAAATTAACTCTTAAATAATTATATATCGATTTAAATATTCTTAATATATTACAACAATTCAATTCCGTGCATCGCACGGGTGAAAATACTAGTAATAATAACAATAATAATAATAATAAAATAAATAAATAAAAAATAAACATGGCATCCTAATCATCACAAACTTGTCTTAATTACACTTTTTTTTGCCAGGTTCGATCAATTTGGAGCTTATTCAAATTCCATAGCTTAATTGCTATCCCCAAATAGTTCAATGAACTATTTGTACATTTTCCCTAATAATAATAATTCCACTCATAGAAGGTAAAGACATCTTTTTTAAAGCAACAAATGGATTATAGGATGAAATGAAGCATTATATTACAATAAAGTCTTGAATCACGGTTGGAAATTATGGAATTTTCGACCACCTGAAAGTGATCTTAAATTAAGTCGAAAGCCTTGTTCCGACCACTTTTGATATCCGGAAAAACCTTTGTTGCTATTTCCAACCACTTTTTACTTTCGACTTGATTTAAGATCACTTTCAGGTGGTCGGAAATTCCATAATTTCCAGCAGTGAATTTGTCTCTTATCAACCAATTATAAGTGGCAAGTCAAAATGGGAGCTAGGGAATGCCACACAGTGTTAAGAGTTCCATATTGAGAACATAAGATAATATATGAATTCATGAATTAGATTAGCTAATTGATTGGATTTAATATTTTTTTTTTGTGTAGTTTAATTTGACCTATACATTATAACAGGCATTGGCATAATCTTAAATTATAACACTAATGAAAAATGCCCCGTCATACGTAGATGACACATTGAAGAAGCACAAATGAAGTCATCGGCAGACATGCCAGTGCCACTTTAATAATAATAGATGTCAAAATAACATTTGGGGAGTGTCACACTTATTGAAAATCCCAGGCCCATACGTAGATGATATCAAAGCTGCAAGCAGTGGGAATTGAAGAAGCACAAATGAAGTGAATGGGAAACATGCTAGTGCGACCACTATAATAAGAACCCACCATTTGTTATGGCCAAATACTAGATAAACTGTGGCGGAAAAGGCAATAATCATAAATATTATGGAGATAAACAAAGAGAAGTATAATATACACTTCAAAAAGCATGGTCATTATCTTCAACTTCAGAATGTCAAACAATAATATGTAAATTAAACTTAAAAGCTCACGAGAAAGCTCATAACTGGGAAAATGTAATTTGGCTGAAACTTACATAGAACCACAAATTAAAATGATCAAAGCATTACAATGTCTAGAGTTTGGCTATCATCAACCAATAAATTATGAGTGGCATGCGAGTCAATATGGGAGCTGGGGAAAGCCACGCTGATAGAAAATGCCCCGTCCATACGTAGATGACACCAAAGCTACAAGCAAAGGGAATTGAAGATGCACAAATGAAGTGACCGGCAAACATGCAAATACAGCCACTGTAATAAGAACTCCCCTTCTGTTATGCCCAAATACGAGATACACTGTGGCGGAGAAGGCAATCATCATAAATATTATGGACAAAAACAAGGTGAAGAGGCCTATGATTATTCTGTTGGGAAGAGTAAATAGGAAGTCTTCTTCTGCATATCGCGAAGTTAGAATGGACAAGAAGACGAGCAAGGAAGTAGCTGATGTGAAGAGAGATGCAGCATTTGAGATGGCAAATACTGTGAAAGCATTGTGGTCGGAGAAGATTGGGAGGCCATTTTCACCACTGTTGCCACCAGGAACTGTAATGGCTGCTGCAAAGACAACAGTAACAATGAGGGCTGCTGAAATTGTGCATGAATTCGCTGTGTCTTTAATCCATTTCTCCCCTGCCTCTTTTAACTCCCTATGCTCCTCCGTAAAGACCATACTCGGTGTTTTGCCATATTTATTCTTATATGACCAGAAATATGATGGTGTGATTTTTTTCACTTCCTGTAGTGTGGCTGTGAAGATTAAAAAAAATGAAACGATGGGGGAAAACATATAAGAGATTGTGACATGCCATACCTTAAACCATTGCAGCTCTCGTTGCATTTGAAGAGCTGCACCAGAAACAAGATTTAGTTTGTGCGGAGGTGCCAATTTCCCAGCCAAATGCAAAACACTATTACAAATTATGTCTTCATACTGCGGTAAATTAGTCCTAAGCACATTGGTTCCACAAACAAGGTTAAAAACATTTTCGCTACGGTTCATTACTGCAACGTGAAGTATATTCTGCTTCTTGGAGTCCCAGAAATAAATCGACATAGGATATGCTTCCGCAATGTTTAGGATGACTTGCCAAATGTCTAAAATCGTTGCATCAAAGATTGTTTGTTTTGTCAGTGACATCACTTGTGTATCATTTATGGTTTTGAGTTGATCGCACAACCATTTAAGAAGCTTCACAGATTGGTGGTGCAGCACCATTTTGTTTACTATGCTCTCCCTTACCAGACCTGATAGATAGATAGATAGATAGATAGATAGATAGATAGATAGATAGATAGATATATTGAAATAAACAAAATCTATTATTTTTACGATTATATATCTTCCAATTATATATTTTGATCTGATATGGTCATGTTAGGTAGTTATGTATACACACACATCCATCCATACATACATACATTGTAGTAGTGAGGTGATGAGGTAGAAAATTGGTGTAGATGTGGTTGACTCGGCCTTAGAAACATCTGCATGCAATAATAATTTTTACTATTAACTTAAAGATCGAAATGAGTAGTAATTAATTGGCTAGCAAACACAAGATTGAAGAATAAGTGTATATATAAATTAAAGAGAAAAAGGTCAAATAAGCCCTCAAACTATTGCTCAAAAGTCAAATTGACCCTCTAACTTTTTGAAGAAGCAATTACACCCATGAACAATGTATTTTGATGCAAAGAAGCTCAAATACAAATAAATGACCTGCTATCATAGGTCATTGCAGATTCAGCAACTTTCCGGCATACTTTCATTCAAAAAAGTGATTGGTGAACGGTCGCTGGTCACAAAGAAGGCAACCCAGATCTGGGTTGTCTTCTCCGGGAGGTGTTACCTTCTCCATGACCGGCGACCGTTCGCTGGTCACCGGTCACTTTTTTGCCCGACAATATGCTGGAAAGTGGTCGGATCTGAAATGACCTATGATAACAGGTCATTTACCTGGCCAAATTATATCGTGCACCGCAGTGCATAATTGATTATGTACCGCGCATACTCTGTTATTTAGTTTCATTTTGTATACACTGCAGTTTCAGTTCAACACAACTACAGTTTCATTTCGATATAACTACAGTTTAATTCGATATTTATAAACTCAAATATGTGAAAATATTAGTTTATTTTATTTTATATGCACTATAGTTTCATTAAAACACAACTACATGATCATTTCGATATAATTACAGCTTCATTGTACAATATACACTCAAATATGTGAAATGTTATTAAGTTTCATTTTATATACACTGCAGTTTCATTTCACCACAACTACAGTATCATTTTGATAAAAATAATACGTGAGGCAGTGTCGGTTTAGATACACTGTGGTGTCAGTCCGTTTTGACGCGCGGTGCATAATCGATTATGCACCGCGGTGCACGATATAACGACTCATTTACCTGTATTTTGGCTTCATTGCATCAAAATGCATTGTTCATAGGTGTAATTGCTTCTTTAAAAGGTTAGAGGGCCTAATTGACTTTTGAGCAATAGTTTGAGGGCTTATTTAATCTTTTTCCCTAAATTAAATAAAGATAGCCGATACAAATGAAAAGTTACTCACAATGGTATATGAGACTTTGCCAAAAATTTAGACTGTGTTTGTTAATAATAGAACGGTGAATACGGACTAGGGCATCCAGAGCTGACATATTGTTATCTATCGCTTTATAACAGGCCAAATAAGGGTACTTTTCAACCAACTGCAGAGCCAAATCTGTATATATATACATATAAATTTCATAACACAAAACACTAGTATAATTAAGGATTGACTACTTACCATAGAATTTTTGTCCGATTAAGTAAACAACAATAGAGACACCAGTTGGGCCTGCGTATGGATTAGGCAGGGGGTATGCATCATCCCTAGTCACACCAAAGAAATACAGAAAGACGTCCTTGCTTCCGCGAGAACTCGTAACCGCATAATGGATGGGGAAGAAGCCTTTGTTGTCGTAAAGATAGAGGAGATTAGAATTCCTGCGAACAAGGATTCGAGCCACCTCAATGTTTCCTTGCCGGGCAGCGATGTGAAGTGGGGTAAGCCCATGGACGTCTCTGGGGCCAAGTTCATGGTCCCATAATAACGCTACAAGCTTTTCCATAAAGAAGGCATTACCTGCTTTAGCAGCAACATGCAATGCAGTCTCTAAGTACTGGTTAAGTGGAGTTCGAATTGCTAGAGGGTATTGGTTGAAGAATCTTAGAGCTTCCTCCCAATCTTTTGCCAACATAGATCTGTATAGTGGCCGGTAGCTGCTGAAATCTACTACAACGTAACATCATATCATGTATGGGGAAGCTAGCTAGCTAGCTAGAATTAGTGAATCAAATTTAAACCACGTACTCTACCTGGATTTTGATGAGGAAGTGCTTGGGAAGAAGATGCCATTTAGTATCTGCAAATTTATTCTATCTCATCATCTGATCTTAACTCAAATGGAAATTGATGGCCTACCACGCTATGTTTTATATATAGTTCGTTGTTCAGAATAATATAATGGTCGGATTTATATATAGCAGGTCGGCTGTCAGCTTGCTACAATAACTTTCCTACTATTATATGGTATGAAGGGTGATGAAGACGACAAAATTTTATTAATAAAACAAACATCCAAATCCCAAACATATATGAGGGCCCATTCTTCTTAATGATTGATATAAGACTATATTACAGATAATAATTCTTTATAAACAATTACTTTCGAATTCATTACATCGTACCATGCATTTATTTATTTTCTCAAATATGATCAGTTCAACAACCCTCGAAAAATTATACCATGGATAATGGTATACCTTGCATTGTGAACCCTGGTCCGATTCAAAAATAACCTTGAGATTTTATTTCCATAAACTATTCTGTGGACGCAAGTTCACCTTGCAAGATGGACACGGGTCCAAATGTTCATTATTTACATTTTAAATGTTCACAATTTATCTTTTAAAAATTAACAATTTGTATACTACGAACACACAATGTTAACATATATGTAATTGATTTTCTTGTTTTGTATTCACAAGTTCCTTTCAAATACTATAGTCACACAATATTAACATATTACAATTTGATGACCTATATTGTATTCACAAATTCATTTCTATAGATGTTATGTGCTTTGACTTAGAAACATAATTTATATTCTAGAAGTTCACAATTCTAATACTAAAAATACACAATTTGTACTTGCAGTTGACATATTTTGTACATGCAGTTAAGTGTTTTTGAACATGTAAACAAATTGAAGATGCATCACATGAAAATTACAAACACATAACATGATAACTACGCACATAAATTGTTAACTGCATATACAAAATATATTAATTGCAGACACAACATGCTAACCAACATCTTATGTGTCTGCAATTAACATATTCTGTACATGCAGTTAATAATTTGTGTCTGCAGTTATCATGTTATATGTTTGTAATTACCATGTTATGCTTTCAATTTGTTTACAGATACAAAAATTATTAACTACAAGTGCAAAAATATGTTAACTGTATATACTTAATTTTTGGACCAGAATTCACAATGCAATATGAACCCTAGTCCATGGTATAACAATTGACAACCATCTTGCTAACTAACCACTTTATTATTAGAGGACAACCAAATTAGTCAAACTTGGTAAAAAAAAAAATTAAGTTGAGTTACTGTTGGTTCCAGTAAGGTCGAAAAAGAGTCTAGAGGGGGGGGGGGGGGGGGGGGGGGAGGGGGGGAATAGACTCTAATCGATTTATCAAATTAACTCGTTTCGGGGTTATGCACAACAAAAATTGTATTTACGTTTTAAGATGAACTTTGCACGATTTCGTTATGAAGGTTTAAGGTATGGTCAATATGCATGCAATGCCAGATAGATAGTTATACGAAAGTAAAAAGAGAGATGGAGAGAGGGATTTTTATAGTGGTTCGGCTATCAAGAAAGCCTACTCCACTCTTCTTTAACAACTTGTGAAAGGGTTTGCACTATCACTCCTAATACAAACTACTCAAACTAGCTTCCTTGATCACTAAGTTAGACAGCTACTTGAAAGGTTTTTCAACTCCTAGAATTTACTCCGCCTCTATCAACTTCTTCTTCAGAGTTGAGTGTTGGATGAATTTAATGTGTTTCTCCAACAACTTGAAGTCTTGACTTGATGATCGGATGAATCTTCTTATAAAGATGCAAGACTTCCTTGATGATTGTGAAGAATAAATCTGGATGAGCTTCTTTGAAAACTTCACAATCAAACACATTGGTTTTTGAAAAGCTTTTCTTAGATAAAATAAGTTGAACAACCAGCCCTTTCTTCAATGGTGAAGAGAGGTATTTATAGGTGAGGAGAAATTCATCCGTTGGAGGGAGATGAATTTCAAACCTATTAACCAGCGTGTATTAACCATTGGGCATGGAGCATTTATTGCGGCTGTACTGTGTAGCTGTTGGTGTCCAAAAGCATTGTGGCTTTTGTCCTTTTTCTCTAACAAGAAGTACTAATCATTTAATGCTCCTTGATTTTGTGAATATCATTCCTAGGACTTCTTTTGTCTAGGATGATTGCCCAACTGTTAGACATAGACAACATTCTCTTTGCTCATGTGTAGCTCAATTGGGTAGCTCAATTGGTCATAGAGGTGAAACTTTGGAATAATGACTAGGGATCGAGTCTCACCAGCGGCAGTGTGTGAGTGTCACACGAAAGATTGTCTTTTTCCCGTTGTCTTTAATGACCAAATGACTTTCCTTATCATTTGATCGTTGTCTTTAATGACCAAATGACTTTCCTTATCATTTGATATTTACACGAGAGCTAGACCCTTCCAAACTACTGACTTTCTTTATCATTTGATATTTACACGAGAGCTAGACCCTTCCATATTTCGGTCTATGCTGTTCTCTTGGTCTTCTATTCTTCTTCACTTCCTCTCGTAGACCTAAACTACTAAACACGACTCAAATTCGTGTATGTATGCTACTTAACTGAATCACATGGTGAGTTTCTATAGCTTTCGTCCAACACGAAAGTTCTAAGATAAATAAATTAAAAAGAGGGGTCTACGATCCTAGCAAGATTGGTATCATCAAAATCTAAGTACACTTGTTCCTAACAGTTATTAAGTTTGAACTTAATTATATGGAATTGTTTTATTGTTTATTGGCATTCTTCTTTGACTATGTTTGGCAAACCTAGCTGAAAAGGTAGTTGAAAGCTTAAAAGGAGCTTAAAGCTGGAAAGCTATATATAAGCTAGGAGTTGAAAACTGAAGAGTTGTTAAGTTAGCTATTATGCTTGAAAGTGTTTGGTAAAATACTAAAATTAGTTTTTTGATAAGCTAATAAATGTAAAAAGACAAAAAAAAAATGACATCTTCATAAAATTTAAATTAGTGTTTACATATTAAAATTTAACATTTTGTCTCCAAAAAAAATTTAACATTTTGAAATTAAATTATTAACATAATCATGATCTAGCATCTCATAATGAAGAAGCAATATTGTTGTGAATCTCCTTCATCTCTAATAATAATAATAATAATAATAATAATAATAATAATAATAATAATAATAATAATAATAATAATAATTAATAATAATAATAATAATAATAAATAATAATAATAATAATAATAATAATAATAATAATATAATAATAATAATAATAATAATAAAAAAAAAAAAAATAATAATAAATAATAATAAAATAAAAAAAAAATAATAAAAAAAAAAAAATAATAATAATAATAATAATAATAATAATAATAATAATAATAATAATAATAATAATAATAATAATAATAAAAAAAAATAATAATAATAATAAAAAATAATAATAATAATAATAATAATAATAATAATAATAATAATAATAAAATAATAATAATAATAATAATAATAATAATAATAATAATAATAATAATAATAATAATAATAATAATAATAATAATAATAATAATAATAATAATAATAATAATAATAATAATATAATAATAATAATAATAATAATAATAATAAATAATAATAATAATAAATAATAATAATAATAATAATAATAATAATAATAATAATAATAATAATAATAATAATAATAATAATAATATAATAATAATAATAATAATAATAATAATAATAATAATAATAATAATAATAATAATAATAATAATAATAATAATAATAATAATAATAATAATAATAATAAATAATAATAATAATAATAATAAATAATAATAATAATAATAATAATAATAATAATAATAATAATAATAATAATAATAATAATAATAATAATAATAATAATAATAATAATAATAATAATAATAATAATAATAATAATAATAATAATAATAATAATAATAATAATAATAATAATAATAATAATAATAATAATAATAATAATAATAATAATAATAATAATAATAATAATAATAATAATAATAATAATAATAATAATAATAAATAATAATAATAATAATAATAATAATAATAATAATAATAATAATAATAATAATAATAATAATAATAATAATAATAAATAATAATAATAATAATAATAATAATAATAATAATAATAATAATAATAATAATAATAATAAAATAATAATAATAATAATAATAATAATAATAATAATAATAATAAAAAAAAAAAAAAAAAAAAAAAAAAAAAAAAATAATAATAATAATAATAATAATAATAATAATAATAATAATAATAAATAATAATAATAATAATAATAATAATAATAATAATAATAATAATAATAATAATAATAATAATAATAATAATAAATAATAATAATAATAATAATAATAATAATAATAATAAATAATAATAATAATAATAATAATAATAATAATAATAATAATAATAATAATAATAATAATAATAATAATAATAATAATAATAATAATAATAATAATAATAATAATAATAATAATAATAATAATAATAATAAATAATAATAATAATAATAATAATAATAATAATAATAATAATAATAATAATAATAATAATAATAATAAATAATAATAATAATAATAATAATAATAATAATAATAATAATAATAATAATAATAATAATAATAAATAATAAATAATAATAATAATAATAACAATAACAACAATAACAATAACAATAATAATAACAATAACAATAATAATAATAACAATAATAATAATAATAATAATAATAATAATAATAATAATAATAATAATAATAATAATAATAATTGCGGTGAAAGTTGCAGGGAAGAGAAAATGATTTTAATTGGGAAAGGTAAAAGAAAGTCATTTCTTTAAACTAATTAGGACAAAGATGGAAAAAGAAAATTAGGAGCTTATTTTAAGCTCTTATTATTAAGAAAATTAAAAATTAGCGTTCCAAAAATTAGGAAATTAAAAATTAGCGTTCCAAAATAAG